TTAACCGGACACGAGAGGTGGTCTTCTTCCTTCATCTTGAGAGCTCATCAGTCCGGCCCATATTGAATAGGCCGGACGCCCGAGGACCCCCTAGTCCAGGACTCGCTCACACATCATTTGATCTAATCATCCACTTGAAAGACGTGGTCAATATTAGCCAAGCTTCGGGTTTCCTGCTCCATGGACAACATGAACCTGCCCGCTAAGCATAAGTTCTTTGAGTCTGTGTTGTTTCATTTTGAATTAACAAAAGTCATCCTTTGTTAGATTTTTTTAAAAGAAATACGGATATCCAATAGCCTCCTGACGAAGCAGTGATTTATTCTTATTCTCGGGCTTTTATTTGTTGCCTTGACAACGGAATATTGATCACTCTGCCAAAAATAAATACCAGTTGAGATTGAATGAAGATCCAGTCACTTTTCGTCTTTTCCCCAAAGGCTACATCAACTTGAATAACCGAAAGGCTGCAAAGAACCAAAGACGACCGTCGTTGTTCGATGTTCATGGTGATCGTGGCCGAAATGGTGTTGGCGATCAAGGAAACGTGTGACCCGGACAGATAAAGAAAACACATTTCAAACCGCAGGGAGCATAGGGTGTGTAAACCATTCTCAACCTTGTATTTTATATATTACAAAACCTGATGTGTTTAATTTTTTTGAAATAAGAAAAACACAAAGATCGATCCACCATGAACGACCTGGAGCCACGGAGACTGGCGAATGTACTCCACAAACTGCACCGTAACCTCGAGCACCTGCCAAAGGACACCACAACCACATCAGTGCATCACATCGAAAAAGCTTTCATGCATGGCTCTCTTTTTTTGACAAATAAAAAATGCTTTCATGGCTATTGTGAGCCGTGATGCGCTAACATGGACATGTACGTCGCCCACCGGGCGTCTCTTCTCGGGACGTACATGTCCGTTTTCGCTTCGTCCCGGCCTCTCGCTCTCGCCCTCTCCCGAAACCTGGTGGAGCACCGGCCGGCGGACTCTGCCGTCCGATCTCCTATACACACCGGTGCACGCACGTTACGCACAGGAGCTACACACAACCGAGGGCCGACGCCTCCGGACATGCTGCTTTCACCACAGCGGCGATCCTCAGCCGCGCACCGCCCATTGTTCGCCGACCAAGCCATGCCATGGACAGGACACGCGTGCTTGTCAAGTTCCATCGACAAGGCGCACAATCGTCACAAGATTCCGTCGCTCCAGTCGCCACGAGCTTTCGCCGGCCCGCACGATCGCGCGCGCGCGCGGCGGCGAGCAGATCTATCATCCTCCACCGGCCAACGCCATATCGGCGCAAAGTTGGCGTGCAAGAAGAAAAAGTGGCACGCCACTCTGCTCGATCGTGCGTGCGTGCGCGTCGTAGTTGGTTCTGTAGCTCGATCCTTGTATACGCCACGCCCGCAGTGCACTATACAGTAGTAGTGCAAGGCTCATCCAGGTTCAGAGTTGTGAGTTGTCGCGAGTCGGCGTCAGCCATTGCCGTACATAGTACCCCTGCCGTTTTCTAGAGCAAAATGAGAAGTGCGATGTTCGTACACTTCTCTGGGAATATGTTTTTTTTTTTGGTAAACGTTTGGCACCGGCGGACCGGCCGAAGCTTGGCCGGTCGCGCTCGCATCTTCAGATGAGGCAGATCCATCGCCCCAGCTTGCTCCATGACGTAGCAGGGTCCCACTCACCGCTTTGCCACACAGCCCGCACCTACCTTATCTCTTCAGGGAAGAATTTTCCAATCCACTCCCTGCCCACGCCGCATCTCATCCTCGTCTCGCTCGCGTCTTCCTCTCCATCCACACCTTTCTAGCTCCCCGTGCTGAGCTGCTGTAGATGCGGCCACCGACACCAAGCAAAACAGCAACCATTTTTTGAGCGGAGACATGCAGTGGGTTCAACCGGCGGCGGCGGGATCTGCGGACCCAGTTTGGTGGAGCTGCAACCGGCGGTGTTTTGAGCTGCATCCGACGGCGCCGCCTTGTGCTGGACCAGTGCTGCAACTAGCACACACCGGTGCTGGAGACGGCGGCGACAAGTGCTGGAGAGCCACGGTGACCGGCGTTCAGGGGCGTTTGGAACCGCAGTGACAAGCACTGGAGATCCGGCGGGGTCTTTTTTGTTGGAAGCAGCCCCAAATTTTGTTACCATCGTCTTCTTTTTTTGCTGGAATCAACCATTTTTTTGCTACCACGTTTCTCTTTTGAAGGAACCAGCGGGCACCAATTTGCTACCACCATGGTCGGATTTTGCTGGAACCAACTCAAATTTTTGCTACAATGTTTTGTTTGGTAGAGGCAGTGTACTAATTTGTGCTACCACCATGTTTGGTTTTTGCTGGAACCAACCAAAAAAATTGAAACCATGTCTTTTGTTTGGTAGAAGCAGTGTACCAATTTTTGCTACAACCGTTTTCAGTTTTGCTACTGTCGATGTTCTCAATTGCTACATCTCTTTTTCATGACGCACCGAGACCCACGACTATGTGGTTTTTGCTGCAATCTTGTCGTTTTTGCTACTACTACTACTACGGTGTTCACTTTTGATACATCTGTTGTCAATTTTTGCTACTACCATGGATACACTGCTTGACGGCGGCGAGCGTCGGCGGCGAGATTCGTCGGCGAGCGTTTGGGGGCAAGACAAACGGCGGGGGGTAGAAATTCGCGATGTGGGGCGCGGGGGAGAGAGAGGCGGCCGTCATGTTTTTCTCAGGGGAGGGAGGTTCGAGGGAACGAAACCGATCGTACGGTTTAGACGCAGTGGGATCGAAGGGCTGCGCGGGGACCGGCCGAAATTTGGGCCGGTCGATCGGCGCCTATCACTGCCCTTTTTTTTTGCGGAAATTTTTCTATCTATTCATTTTCAATCATGGTAGTACAACGGATACTAGAAATAATAAAAATTACATCCAGAACCGTAGACCACCTAGCGACGACTACAAGCACTGAAGCGAGCCGAAGGCGCACATCTGTCATCGCCCCTCCCTTGACAGAGTCGGGCAAACATTGTTGTAGTAGACAGTCAGGAAGTCGTCGTGCTAAGGCCTCATGGAACCAACGCATCAGAACAGCAACCGCCGCAGATGAAGAGTGTAGATCAAAAGGATCCAACCTGAAGACACACGAACGAAGACGAACACCGAACAGATCCGAGTAAATCCACCAAAGACAGATCCGTCGGAGACACACCTCCACACGTTCACCGATGATGCTACACACATCACCGAAACGGGGACTAGACGGGGAGAAAAATGAGAATTGTCAATTTCGTACTTCGTAGCGAACCAATTTATTGTTGGATGGTTAGAGAGGAAGTGATATCACCGGGCCATCAGGGTTCAAGTTCTGCTGCTTTCATTATTTCTGAATTTCCGGCGATGCGCTTTCAGTGAGAGGAGACATCCCCGTTGACGACGGGGCGTCTACGGTGACTTCATAAATCTCAAGATGATATACCAGCTCAGTCTCTCAAAGGTGCTCATAAAAATAGAGTGTGTGTGCGCATTTATAAAGATGAGTGTAGGCACGTATGTATGAACGCTTGCGCCTGTGTTTAGAAAAAAAGTTCATACTTCATAGTTTACCATTCTTTTTTTTTTTGCGAGATCGTAGTCTACCATTCTGGCTGCATGCTCTTGCCTTTTTTTTTTTTGCGGGTGACTGCATGCTCTTGCCGATCTTTGTTAGATCTTCTGCCGCTAGCTGAAGTAAGGATTTATTCGGACTATGGTCTACGGTTGTCAAAAGGAGAGCCCCACAATCTCGGACTCGCACTCGATCCGATCCTACGAGACATCCTTTAGCAGCAGCAGAGCGATACATACAATGCGAATTGCAAAGAACGTACGTCAGAAAATGCCGGGATGATTTCGTGTTCTTTCCATCATTCCATGGGAAACGAACGTGCGTGCGTCATGAGCAGCGCAAGATTGTTGCTCATCTTTGTTCCATCTTCCTACGCTCAAGGCATAAAAGAAGGGTGCGGCCACACGTCAGTCGAATGGCTTTTAAAATTTGGGTCAGTCGACCGTTATGAAGTCGGATGCATATCGTACGGCGACTGACCCTTCTTTTTCCTCAGCTCTTCTTCTTCCCAGACCGCCGCATGGGCCGCCGGCCCCCGCCGCTTGTAGCCGGCGGCCCTCCTGCGACCGCCTCACCACCTTGCCCTCCCCTGAACTGCCCACACTCGTCTGTCTTGCCGCCGCCCCCGGCCATCCCTGTAGCCCCGCCCACGTCTTTTTTTTTCGCCTCACCGCCCTGCCCTCCCCTGAACTGCCCACACCCGTCGGTCTTGCCGCCTCCCCCGGCCATCCGTATAGCCCCGCCCGTGTCTATTTTTTTTTCTTCAGTGAAGCCCCACCATCGTCCCCACCCTAAACCCTAAGACAGATAATGGGGTCGCCCTCTGGCGAGCCCCTTCTTTCTCCTTTCTTCCCTCCGGCTCACTTCGGCAAACTACTTTAAATCGATTGACCCAAATTTGAAATTCAGTCGATTGTTATTTTGCTAAACTGGAAATAAATTCGGTTCTTTCCCATAGGATTTCGTTATCTTTTCAGAGAAACATACTCCCTCCATAAAGAGATAGTGATTTAAACGCTCTGGTACATACGTGGTGATCAGCGGCAGGCTACCTGTTGCTTTTCCTTCTTTTCCCTGCGGCTGATGACTCCAGTCCACTGGAAAGCAGAACCCCACGATCTGGGACTCGGATCCGATCCTACGATCCATCCTTTTCAGCAGCAAAAGCGACAGACAGAATGTTTTCTCGCCACACCCCACACGCGCGCCGTCCCAGCAACGAAAAAACCACCACCCCACGCTTTTCTCTAGAACACCCGGTCCGGTGGTGCGCGTGCGGCTACTGTTTCTGCCCTGCTCGACGTGCGTATAAATTGAGGCCGCGGCGAGCACGGACTCCTCATCATCACTCGCTAGCTCGATCGACTCCTGTCATTTATTACAACGTGTTCTGCTTCTGCATGGCTTCCTCCGCGGCTTTCCTCGTCCTCGTCGTCGCTGCTCTGCACGTGTGTTGCTGCCACGGGCAAGGCGGCGGCGGCGACGGCGCCGTGGCGGCGATCTACAGCCTGGGCGACTCCATCACGGACACGGGGAACCTGGCCAAGGAGGCGCCGCCGGGCGCCTTCGAGACCATCAAGCACCTCCCCTATGGCGTCACCTTCGGCCGCCCCACCGGCCGATGCTCCGACGGTCTCCTCATGATCGACTTCCTCGGTACGTACATGTTGCTCTGCCATCTTTGATGCTCGCTCTGTAGGTTGTAGCGACAAGTGACATCGTGTCCCGCTCTGGTTCTTGTGCAATGCAGCTCAGGACATGGGCCTCCCGTTCCTCAACCCTTACCTGGCCAAGAACAGGAGCTTCGACCACGGGGTCAACTTCGCCGTCGCCGGAGCCACCGCCATGGACCCCGACGACCAGTCCAACCGGACCTTCTCCCTCAAGCTGCAGCTCCGGTGGTTCAAGGACTTCATGAAGTCCTCCTTTGACACCGACGAAGGCAATTCAAAAAATTTCTTCCCTCTTATTACTTTCTCTCAGTCTCGGTGCACACTCTGTTTTCATTTCAACGGTCAGGCATACTAATTCTCTCTCTATGTAAAATTTGTGCGTGCAGAAATTCGCAAAAGGCTCCAATCTTCTCTGGTTCTGGTCGGGGAGATCGGAGGAAATGACTACAACTACGCGTTGTTCGGGAACAAGTCTGTCAGTGAGGTGGAGAAACTGATCCCGGCCGTGGTTCAGACCATCATCGACGCCACCAAGGTAGTACTGGTAGTACCATCAAACAACTTCTCTTACACGTACGGCTCGGTGGAGAAACTAATCCTGTGCCTCCATCACAGGAAGTGCTGGACATGGGCGCGAGCAGAGTCATCGTCCCGGGCAACTTCCCCATCGGCTGCCTCCCGAGCTACCTCACCGCGATGGCCGTGCCGGAGCCGTCCGCCTACGACTCCACGGCCTGCCTCAAGGACCTCAACCTCTTCGCTGCGAAGCACAACGCGCAGCTCCAGCGAGCCGTCGCCGGCCTCCGGGCGTCGTACCCCGACGCGGCCATCGCCTACGCCGACTACTTCAACTCCTTCCTCAGCCTCCTCAAGGGCGCCCCGGCGCTCGGCTTCGACGAGAATAGCACGCACACGGCATGCTGCGGCGCCGGCGGCAGGTACAACTACGACGAGACGCGGATGTGCGGCGTGGAGGGGACGGCAGCGTGCGCGGACCCGTCGGCGTACGTGAGCTGGGACGGCATCCACATGACGCAGGCGGCGTACAAGGCCATGTCCAGGCTCATCTACCACGGCCGGTACCTGCAGCCGCAGATACTCAGCTTCCCGGAGAACAACGGACAGACTTGATATTCTGTTTGATTCTCCCCTAGACTAGACGATGGAAGCCTCGCCGCGACATTTTGAGCCTTCGATGAGTTCTTCCATGTTTATGCCGCCATATGCTACATATGCGCTCTGCACTATGTATCCAGATAAAACTACTCCGAGCTAAAGTAAAAGTAAAGATGCAGTTTAGCATGTCGAGCAGGGTACACAGTTACAAACAAAGTTACATCTCTCAAGTAAATTGAGAGGATTTTACAGTTGATCTAGTACACAGTTACAAACTTACATTTCTCTAAGTTACAAAGTTACTGCATAAGAGTGGCTTACCCCTGGTATGTTTGCCTCAGTTCATGAATATAGCTGAGAGTACGAGGGCAAATCTTACAGGAAAAAACCACGGGCAAATACACGTGCCCAAGTTCAAACACTGACAGCTAAGATTTAACATCCTTGATTTGATCTATGCTAAACAACTATCTACATTGAGAATACCAGTTTCTGGTGAACCATCTTCAGTGCAAAGTTCTTTGAAACGGGATAGCAGCAATGTCAAATCCAGATCAGCTTCATGCTTCTTCCAAGCTTCCTCAAACTGCTGCCCCTTGCATCTAAAAGAGTACATCTTACTATGAGAAGACCGAATGATAGATCTCAGAGGAAGAAATGATGAAATGCAGTAATAAGTACAAAAGAAAAATAAAAAATTCTAAGTAGGAATTCTGGCTGGATATGTCCATAAGTATATACTGTATTAGGATTTAAGGCAACAGCAATTTTCTGTTTCGAAGGAAAAAGGCAACAGCAATTTTCCCCTGAATCCAAGCGGCAGAAACCAACAGAAGGTAACCAGTAGCTTCCTGGACATAAACTGACTTGGTTCGTGTGCAGTCTAAACATGCTGGGATGAAATAATAGAAGGTTACCTAGAACACTAATTCGTACAAGTAATAAGCAAGAGACAGTGAAGAATAAGATACGAGTATCTAATTTAAGTGCCCTGCCACCATGTAACACTCAGATAGTAGAATGATAGCTAACCGGTGTACAATTCTAATTTCCGAACCTAATTACCCTGAGAGATATTCAACTGCCATTTGATAGTATTGGTACCGAAATGCTTTAAACGGGAAATAGCTAATGTAAAATTTATCTGCTTAATGGGACTTCATTTTAGCTGGTCGTGACCAAGAAACCAGAATGTGATGCAAAAACTAAAATCACCAGTGAAGAATAATCTTACTTCTGGAGTAGCATGAGTATTTCCACTATGTGATTTCTCATCATCTCACGGCTCTTTCGTGTGGCTGACTCTTTATACAAAAGAACAAGCTCATTCACCAGCCTAAATACAAATAAAGTGAGTTGGAAGCTTCCAGATTCAGCAAGTGGAGAAACAGAAGATAGCGATAAGAAGTATCATAATTCCTAGCACCTTGAAGTGTAGGGTGACTTCCTGATCCAGGTAAGCTTAATAACTGTATGAATTCGTTCTAAAACCTGCAAACGATTCATGGCTAAAATATATTAAAAAAAGCTCTTGTCTATCAATACCCATATAATAATTTCATATAATTACAAGGCTAAAGTTTAATTGTCCTCTACTGTGGGTGTATCATGGAGCTGTCTACCAATACACGTATAATTACATTGTCCATAATCAGGGCAATTTCCTTACCAGAAGAACTGTTCTATCATCATCAGCATGTATCCATTGGAAAAAGAGAGAGAACAGGAGACGAAAATGTGCCAATAGGAAGAGTCCCATAGAATCGAAAACCGGCCCGATAAGGGTAAGCCATGCAACACGACGTTCTTTGTTTAGTGGTTGCCGTTCCAGGTGGCCCAGCATCTCAGAAAGCACACGGTCGTACCTGGAGCCAATGGAAAACTGAAGTTAAAGGGAAAAAAAAAAGACAAGAACTGCAGTTGAGGTTTATAGTAGATATGAACCAGACTGATGGTACCTATAAAACTCATATTAGCATGCAAACATTTCCAGTAGACAGCTGAGTAACTTAACTAAGTGTCTTTTTGCTAGCTTTGCATTCTTCAGACGATGCTAATCCAAGTAGAACAAATTATATCTAAGTTGCTTTTGAGTGACTATTGACGAACAAAAAGAGAAGATGGTGTATAACTGTCTTTATCTCACTTATTAAAAGCAGCTTTTCAGTTTTAAACCATTCCATTTGTAAATGTGGATTTCCCAAGCCATCATTAAAATATCAGGACCACATTTTCATCACACTTAACAAAAAATTTCCTTTCCATATCACTCTCCTTACCAGCCTTTTGGTGCAAAAGGAAAAGGCTATACCACTGTTCTCAAAATGTTAGCTGAGTAGTACATTTGTATCATACTCCCTCCGATCCATAATAAGTGTTGCAGTTTCAAACTAAGGTTAGTCCAACCTTAGTTCAAAATTACGACTATTATTTTGGATCGGAGGGAGTAATAATTATCTTTTACATTTCTAAATACCCATACTCCAATGTAACATCAGAGAAGGATAAAGTTTGTTCCTCCAGAGATAGTAGATCTTGAAAGAATAGACATGATTACAACATGGAATAAAGCGGGAAAAATACAAGTAGGAAAAGATTGTACCAAGGGCTACGTGGATTGCTTCTCTGAGTGCAAGTCAACAGCAGCACTGATACCTCAACAACACGATACCATAACTCATCATCTGCAGGAATGTTATGGCAACACGCATCAAGTATTGCATCTTCATACAAACTTAATTCTGTTACTTTCACATTCTTTGCTATGTGCATGAAGCTAATCATTCCCTGTTCCTGTCAATCATACGGATCATTCTCACTCAAAATGCCCACTAACAGAGATTTAGGGAAAACTGAAATCAGCAGTACAGGGCGAGCTGACTGCCCCTAAAGAAGTTAGCACTGCTATTCAGCACATGCTAATGTTATCCTTGATAGAGAAACCAAAAAAAGAACATCATAATACCTTAACATCCGGTGACCAATGATCTAATGCCGTCAAAGCACATGGAATGACTAACCAGCACAGATCCCCGAGCTTAGGGTAATTAACCTGAAACTCTCAAAGAAGCAACCGCTAAGTTGGTTGAAGCGTTGCCGCTATCGCCAGCACCACCGCGCAACGAGAGCCCGCTCCCACCTCTGCGTCGCGCAGGCCGTCGACGTGCCGGAGGTGAGCTTGGATTTGGAATCGAGTCCCCCGCCACGCTGCCCTGTCGCACGCCGAAGATTGCCCTCACCGGCGAGCCTTGTCGATTCCATTCGCGTCACACTGCGCCATTGAACTCTATCTGATATTTTGCTCTTAATTTGCAGCTTCCCGCATCGGAGCTCGAGGTTGTCACCTTCGGCCGAAAATGCGGCAGCCGCGTCCCACGTGCTCTAGTGAGTTTGTTGAAACTTTCACATCACTGTGTCGAGTTCCTCTACCCGATGCTCGCACATGATGCCTCAGACCATATCAGAGCGAGCCTATTACCTATGTCGGTGAGTTCATGGGAAACCATGTGTCGGGCCTCGATCTCTTTCTGTGGCCACGAGCACCTATGGGGCACGGGGGGCCCCTTCTAGTCCGACAAGGGGGGCGGAGGCCGCGCGCAGAGCAGATCGAGGTCGGGCGCGCTCGGGGAGACGGGCGATTTTTACCCAGCTTCGGAGCTCTCCGGAGAGATAAAACTCCTACTGCTGCTTTGTGTTTTGTATTTGATCTTGCTCGAGAGCGAGCGTATGGTGGTATTGCGTGTGTCCAATGGACCGAACCTCGGAACCAAAATTCCCTACCTGTGTCTCGAATGGACCGAACCCTCTAAGCTGCGGAACCAAAATTCCGAACCCCTTCTACGTGCGCATGGGCCTCCTTTTTATAGGTTAAAGGGGTCACCGACAGGTGGCAGCGTAGAAAGAGGGGTAGAAAGGTAAAAATGCGGGTTGGTACAACTACTACCAACAGTGCCCCCTACCTAACTCTGACAGCAGGGGACAGGGGCATTTAATGCCCGTCCGGTCGACCCAACAGTGCAAGGAAACGACCGTTAGAGGCGCCACCGATCGCCACGATGGCCTCCTTGTCAGCTTCGCTTGCCACCTCGCACCGCCATGCTGCACAGCTGCCCGCCACGTGCACCAGGAGCGATCCTGTGGCGACACGTCGTCGGATGTGCTGGAGCGTGGGCGCAGAGTGGCAGCCTTGCCGCGGCCCTTGTCTTGTCGCACCAGCAAGCTTGCCGCTCGCCGGGCCTTGCCGGGACGCGCGGGGCGTTGCGGCAAGTTTCTTGAAGTGCCTTAGCTGGCCTTCCCGGCAAGCTCCTCTTGCCGGGGCCTTTGTTCTTCCCGGCAAGCTCCTCTTGCCGGGGCCTTGGTTGGCCTTCCCGGCAAGCTCCTCTTGCTGGGACCTTGTATTCTTCCCGGCCAGCTTCTCTTGCCGGGGCCTTGGTTGGCCTTCCCGGCAAGCTCCTCTTGCCGGGGCTTTAGCTTGAGTACTCTGTTCTTGAATGGCATCAAAGTAGCCGCTGAGGATCTTGGCGGACGCCCGGCAAGCCCTATCGCGGGTCGCTGCGACTGCCCATGTACAAGTTCAGGATACTAAGGTATCCCTACTTTAGTACACCGACAGGAGCCCCCGGGCCTGGGCCATACACGGTGCTGAGCGCTGTTGGGCCAGGCCCAACACAGTGCACGAGCACGCGCGGCCTAGGTCACACCGCATATCTCTCCGCTTCCACCGCGCACGCCCAGAACGGCACGCGTCAAACGCGGCGTCGTGGGTGACGTGGGCGGCATGTGCGGGGCTGAGCCTTGTGAGCATGCGTCAAGCCATGATGAAGGGGACGGCTCACGCCCTCCTACCTAAACGGAGGTAGGCGTGGGGGCGTGGTGCATTAACTGGATGGGACCGGTGTGCGGTTTTCGAGGCGTCCAACCCCCACGATCACGGGGTGGGGCGAGGCCGCCGCACCCGTCACCTCGGCCCTGCATCCCCGCCACGTGGCTCCCATGCACTTGGGGTCACGGACGGTGGGAGTGGGAATCCGGGCCGTCGCGAGCAGAGGCAGCGGGTCGGCCCCGATTCCCTGCTCCTCCCGCGCCTTGGTTCGCCGAGCGGGGCGGCCGGGCCCCCACCCTGCTCCTTTATAAAGGGCAGGAGGGGGGGCACAGAAGCCCGCACTCTCTCATCTCCTTCTTTCTTCAGCTTCTGCTCTCCTTTCTCCCATTCGCCATGGAGAAAGGGAATCCTGGCTCTTCATCGGTGGCGGCGAGGGTCGCCGCCAGGCAGCGCACCTCTCCCTCTCTCGCACCCTTGGCGGGGGAACCGGCCATAAGGGGAAGAGGGAGGGGGCGTGGTCGCGGACGAGGTCGAGGACGAGGCTGAGGCGCTCGGGGAAGAGGCGGACGGGGCGGCGCGCCCGCTTCGCCTCCGCCGGCGGTTCCTCCCCCCACGGCGGTCCACATGGGGGACGACCCTTGCGAGTTCTTCGTCAGGCTGCGTCGGGCGCCTCGTCGTCGCCTCCGGCTTCCAACTCCGTTCGCAAGCGCGATGGAACCGGACCCGCCCGAGATGCTGAGACTGCAGATGAGGGGCTGCGGGATCAGCGGCACGCGAGTCCACGTTGTATCCCCAGCCCCTGGCGTGATGTATCTTGACCGTGGATGGAAGACGTTCGCCCGCATCCACAGCTTGACGGCGGGGTTTACCCTCCATTTTAAGTTAATGGAGGGCGACCTCCTCTCCGTCAATGGTCTTCGGGGACTCCGGCATCCGGGCGAGGTGCTGCTCCTCCGATAGCGAAGACTCCCCTTCGAGCGAGAGTGACGAGGAGGGGAGCGGCAGCGACGACGAGGGTAGCGGGCGGCGGAGTGGCGGGTCCGACTAGGTGTCAGGCGCCGCTCCGCGCGTCACCGGCGACCCCATCATCCGCGTCGCCGGCTCCTTGAACTCCCCGGGGTCGTCTCCTCGGGCGGCTGGCGCAGGGAGGCTGCGGAAGGGGAAGAGGGCCGACAAGGCCGTCAGATCGGAGTACGAGGGCGTGGTGCCCTCGACAGCGTGCTGACGTCCTGCCGCCCTGTCCTCGAGCCCCGCTTCTGGCGCTGCCATCACCGTTCAGTCTTCTGACAGCCCCCGGGCTGTTCTCTTGGTGTCTTCTGGCACCCGTAGTTCGCCTAGGCGCCCCTTTTGCCCTCCCCGGCAAGCTTCTCTTGCCGGGGCCTCCTTGACCTACCTCCTGAAGAGAGAAACAGGAGAGGGGTTACGGGCATCTTATCTTTTAATTTGTAAGCCTTCGGGCCTTAGCTGCATTTAAAATTTGTAATCCTCTCTATCATGTTTTTCATCCTCTATGGACTTGTACTAAATTGGGATGTTTTTTAATGAAAAGAAGGGAATGCCTGCCGGATTATGCCCTTTACTTGATTTTGTGCCTTGTATGTTCCCACCCTACGCTTTTAGGGAACTTGCCGGCGCAAACACACTTGCTGAGTGCGGAACATCAGTAGCCCGCTGGCGGTGTTGCTTCCGGCAAGAAACCTTGTCGGGCCAGTTGCAGCGCACTCGTATTGTTTGAGCGGACTCGGAAACAAACCCAGGGCGCAACTTGGCCGCGACTTGGCTCCTCCGCGCACGGGGGGTTTTTTTTACAAGACACATTCGTTCAAGGACGCGGCCTCGCTTTCCCCAGCCCATAAGAGGATGCATGACGAGGGATGAAAAACTTATCTGATACCGCAGCCCCCGGCGACTCTAGCTCGCCGGGGATGAATCTTGGCGTTTGCAGCCCCCGGCAACTCTGGCTCCGCCGAGACCTAGGTGCCGGTGCGCCTTTCCTTGCCCTTGTCGCTGACGCTGCGGCCTCCGGGGATCCTGGCCTGCCGCGAAGGAACTTCGGTACTTGCAGCCCCCAGCGAAATCGGCTTGCCGGGGCCCCTGCGTCAGTGCGCCCTTCTGGTTTTTCCTTGTCGCTGTTATTATAGTCACGAAAATAACTAAGACAGCGCCGTAATAAGTTACTCTTTCGTGGCGTGATTATTTAGGTTGGGCAACGCAATGCCATGCTTCGCCCTTCGTATGTTTACACTCTACGCTTTTCAGGGGACTTGCCGGTGCATACACACTTGCTGAGTGCGGAACATCAGCAGCCCGCTGGCGGTGTTGCCTCCGGCAAGAAACCTCGTCGAGCTAGTTGCAGCGCGCTTTCATTGTCGAGCGGACTCGGAAACAAATCAAGGGTGCAACTCAGCCGCGAGTTAGCTCCTCTGCGCACAAGTTTTACATACGAAGGACGTCCCACGGCAAGGCTTGCTATGTTACGTCCTCTACTTCATAACATCCCTTGTACGTTTTTACCCTACGCTTCTAGGGAACTTGCCGGCGCTAACACACTTGCTGAGTGCGGAACATCAGCAGCCCGCTGGCGGTGTTGTCCCCGGCAAGAAACCTTCTCGGGCCAGTTGCAGCGCACTTGTATTGTTGAGCGGACTCGAAAACAAAGCAAGGACGCAACTTAACCATGAGTTGGTTCCTCCGCGCACAGGTTTTTCGTACAAGGGACGAACGTTCGAGGAATATAACATAAGAGATTAGAACTAAAAAGTGCTCTGTACTCAAGCTCGGGCGACTTAGCTTTTCCGTCCTCCGCGATCCGGCGAAGCCGCACTTCTCCCTTGACCTCCTCCCTTGTACGTTTTCACCCCGACGCTTTCAGGGAACCCGCCGGCGCAAACACACTTGCTGAGTGCGGGACATCAGCAGCCCGCTGGCGGTGTTGCTTCCGGCAGGAAGAACTCGTCGGGCT